ATGGGGGAGGCAACAGGGAGCTTCCAAAGGAGGGGAGGATGGGGGAGGGGTCTCGGTCAGGCCACTAAAATACAAGTTTGCCCAAGGAGCCATTTCCCCCAAGAATGGGCCGAAGGAGGCCAAAGTGGGTGAGCACCAAGGGCGCTGTGACCGGGGGCAGGGCATTGCGGGAAGGGGCCTTGGCAGCCCCCAGGAAGTTGTCTGGGACCCTCGCTGCCAGCGCAGTGTTTTTATTCACTGCAATACTGTGCCCCCCGGCCTCTGATGCTCAGCACCCAGAGATTTCAGCACCAGCGACCAGGAACAGACCCAGGTTTCCCACATCCACCCCACCCGCTCTGTCTGCCCACAGTGGGGCGGGGAGGCTCACACAGGGCCTGGGACTCCTCAGGCAGAGCCCAGGAACTGGAGAGGGAAACTTGGGGCATTTTAGGGGCAGGTGGGAAAGTCTGTCCCTGAGCTGTCTGGGTCTGTGTCCCTGTAGCCACCTGCCCAAACATGTTCACACCCCCTTGGGCCGCTCTGCACGACGGCCCCACACACGAGTGACCCACACGGCACACGCCAAGGCCAGGCCTGCTCTCGTTTAATGGGGGGAGGGAACGACATTTCTGTGGGGAGTCGGGGACCCGCTGCCGCGGCTGCTCCTGGTCCAGGGCGGGTGGATCCCTCCGGGCTCATTTCCATTTGAAGAGGGGGAGGCAGCAGTAGGACTTGGGGCAGTCGTACGTGTAGGTCTCATACTCGTATTTGCCGCATTTCCAGTCGCAGCGACCAGCGCAGCCCTTCTTCTGCCCTAGGCCTGCGCCAGACACAGAGAGTCCGGGTTAGAGACAGAACATGGGACCCCACCAACCCACAGCGGTTTACTCGGACACTCCTGTTCATGGCCCGTCCCAAGGGGTCAGACCAACGGGGCAGCTGAGGGGCCGTTCCTTGCCCTAGAAGGGAAGGGCGGCTCAGCGCGGTGGGGGCTGCCTTCCCCTTCCTGAGGGATCGGCCTCCACACGGTTAGTGTCCCCTGGAGAGCCCCCCCCCTCCAGTGACACCTGCCCCCACAGATCCCAGGGCTCCAACCTCCTGATGTCCTGAGGGACCCCAGAGACATTTCTGAGGGAGAGGAAAAGGGGGAGCCCTTGGAAGGGAAATCAGGCTCCTGCCATTCCCTGCAGTTCAGATGGTGGCTGTCGGTGACCAGGGGCAGTTGGTTGAGTCCTAGGCTGGGGACAGCAGGCACCAATGGAAGATGCTGGTGGCAAGAGAGGAAAGACAGAGAGGAGGGATGGGGACAGGGCCAGAGGCAGCAAAGCGGGTGGGTGGGAGCAGTGAGAGGGAGGGAGAGGAGCTGGGCTGTGGAGACAAGGTGTAAAAGGGAGGCAGGGGAGAGGTTTTAGGGGGAGGACCAGGCCGTGGAGGGGAAAGGAGGGAGGCTGTGAAGGGCCAGAGAAGGGGGGCAGGAGAGAGAGCAGGTGCTGAGAGGTGCACAGAGGGACGGGGAGAGCGCAGAGAAACGTGGGAGGGGCTGGCTGGAGGGAAGGGGATAAGGGGGATGTAGGGGAGGGAGGAAGGGACGTGGCGGTTGGTGGGGGAGAGAAAAGAGCCGCTGGGAAGCTGGCAGCTGAGGAGGCGCTGGCAGAGCCTGGCTCTGCACAGCCTCATGGGGACGACAAAACCCAGCTCCTGCCGTTTGTTCAAAGCATTCTGGGCACTGTTGGATTAGACGTGTAATTTCATTAGTTCACAACCCTGCTCCTGAAGGCTCAAAGAGAGAGAGAAAAGTGAACGCTCATGGAATTGAATGAGGGAAAATTTCCATGGGTCTTTCTGCGACTCTTTCAGTCTCTGCAGACTCATGGAGGCCATGAGCTGTATTAACCCCACTTCTGTGTCAGAAGTTACCCTCTAAATCATGTGGGGAGATATTTCCTCTCTCTCCAGCACGCTATGGCAGGGGGCTCATGGAACATTCACGGCGTATTTCCCAATTCAGAGTGAATTTGGACCGAGGCTGGATGGGCGAATGGATTGTTAACCCCGAAGCAGCGACATCGCAAATTCAGTGTCCACAGGACTCCCCTGAGAAGAGTTCGCTGTGTCTTTGTTCAGTCCCAATCTTTATAATCCAAAGCCGGGTTCCTTGCAGGCAGGGGCCTGCTGTCAGGCTCCTAAATCTACATTCAGACACCTCCATGAACGTGACCGCTATTTCAGAAGGCAGCCAAGGTAGCTGGAGCTGCCCACACCTCTGGGAATCAGGCCTGTTGTAGCTCTGTGCCCAGTGTGGACCCAGGTGTGTAACGTGAGGGTCACAGCCGGGGGGAGCGCTGGCCCCAGGGTCTGAGCTCGGGGGGCTGGCGAGAGGGTGGAATTCTCTGCCCGTCCTTACAGGAAACCTCCCGACTCGGAATCCCCAAGTGACTCACTAGACGGGAACCCAGAGAGCCAGATGCTCAGGACTGTCTCAGCAGCGGCTCATCTAAACATGCCCAGACAAGTGGACACCCACGTGCTGCTCACAGTGGTCCTGGCTCAGACTGTCCCCAGAACATGCCCCCCCACCAGACACTGCCGGGGAGCCTGAGTCCTTCCTGTTACCCGCCGATCCCCCTCCTCCGTCCCTATTCCCGCCCCTCCCAGAGCGACCGCTCACCTGGAGCAGCCAAGGAGACCAGCAGGAGAACAGCAAACACCAGGTGGAGGATCCTCATGGCTGGAGGGGGCTGGGGTCTCAGCAGGGCTGCAGAGCAGAGGAGCAGAGAGGGAGGCTGGAGGCCGGTGAGGTGCTGGGCTGGGGATCCCGGTATTTCTAGAGAGTTTGTTGGCAGAGAGCAGGGGCTGGGGGAGGAGCATGAACTCTCTGATCTCCACGTGTGCGTTGGTCCCTGCAATGTCGCTCTGGCCCAGTGGGCCGCTCCCAGTGATGCAAACCCCCCACGTTCTCAGGGCCCTTTGGTCCCTGCCCCTCCCTCTGCCATGAAACCTGCCTGGTCCCTTCCCCCGGCATCCCGAGGTGGGTGGAGTTTACCTGGAACAGGTGCAGCTCCCCAGATTATTGGGAAGGTGACAAATGATCTATGGAGGGTGTCGGTGGGAGCCCTTTGAACTGAGTCTGTGAGTCAGAGGGACCTGATGGAGACTTGTAATTCTGAACATCATGGGTCGGAGCCCAGCATCACACAGGCAGGGGCCTTTTCATCTCCACACGTCCACGTAACAGACCCTACCCCTCCTTTTCCCTTCATGCCCTGCACCACATCTTCCCCTGTCTCCTCAGTTGCTCCTCTCCCCCATTCACCTCAGAGCCCCCCGCTTCCTCCCTCTTCTCATTTGTAGCCCCCAGGGACTTTCACGACCACACAGGAGCAGAAAGCAGCCCTCCTGCATGGCAGCCTCGTGCCCCTCCCTGTGCTGCCTTTCCAGCTGCCCCCTTCCAGCCCGCTCAAGCCCTCCCCACCCACGAGCAGCCTAAAGACACAGGCAGGAGAAGCGCTGGCTGGTGGGACAGCTCCTCTTCCTTCCCTCTCTCGGAGCACCCCATGTCTGCTGAGAGCCCCTGTCCCCACTCCCTGCTCTCTGTGTGTGCCTGCAGGGTTCTCTCCTCTCTGTCTGTGCCACAGCCCTGTAGACCATGCTCCTCAAAGGGGTCTCCTGCAGCCGGAGCTGGTGCAAGTGTGTCACCGCTTTAGGGTCTGGCTACAGACTGTCACTGGCCTCTGCCCACAGTAGCCAGACTGCTAGTGTCCGCTCCATGCATCAGACTGGGCACTGCCAGAGTCCCTTTTGGACTAGACTACAAATCACCAATGGATAATAGACTTTCATAAAATTCCTGCCTGGAGAAACTGCAACAATACTGTGTACACAGACTCCGGGAATACTAGAGCTGGGATGGACCTCAAGAGATAAGCAATCACCAGTCCCCAGCCCTCACGGCAGGGCCAAGCACCATCCAGATCATCTCTGACAGATGTCTGCTCAACTTGCTCTTAAATGTCTCCAGTGAGGAGATTTCACAACCTCCCCAGCCAATTTATTCCAGTGATAAACCCCTCTGACAGTTGGGAAGCGTTTCCTATTCTCCAGCCTAAACCTCCCTTGCTGCAATTTAAACCTGATGCTTCAGTGGGTCTGGCCCACGAAAGCTCATCATCTAATAAACCATCTTGTTAGTCTTTAAAGTGCTACGTACTCCTGTACAATGGATAATAGACTTTCATAAAATTCCTAGCTGGAGAAACTGCAACAATACTGTGTACACAGACTCCGGGAATACTAGAGCTGGGATGGACCTCAAGAGATCAGCAATCACCAGTCCCCAGCCCTCACGGCAGGGCCAAGCACCATCCAGATCATCTCTGACAGATGTCTGCTCAACTTGCTCTTAAATGTCTCCAGTGAGGAGATTCTACAACCTCCCCAGCCAAT